CCCTCCCTCTCTCCCTCGTGCACCCCTACCACCCTCCCTGGCCCGTACCCTCAAGCACCCTCCCTGACCTGTGCTACATCCTCATGCATCCTCCCTGACCCACACTGCACCCCTGCACACCTTCCCTGACTCACACCCTCGTACACCCTCCCCAACCTGTGTTGCACCCACCCACACCCTCCCTGACTCTCACCACACTTTTCAGGCACTCCCTTGCACACTCTCACACCCTCACTGACCCACACCATGCCTCTTTCACACCCCTGTACAACCTCCTGACCCTCTCCACACCTCTTGTGCACCCCCTCCCTCCCTTCCCTACCAAGCAGCAGCCACTTCCCTGCCTGCTGGCCTTGGATGTGCAACTTCCTGCTGGCTTCCCCACTGATTTTGCTTGTGGAAAGCTGGCAGGGAGCACTAGAAATGTTGATCACATGACCACAGCTGACCACAGCAGTGCTGAAGCAGCAGCAGCACAGTGGTGCTGAAGCGGCCAGAATTTTGCCAAATTTCAGTCCCACAGGGGCCATGGGTCCTGGATTTTGGACACATTCTGTAAATCAACCCATTTGAGGTACCTTGGTTCAAAAATTGTTGTCCTATGATGCACCATTTCACCCAATTGAAGGTTACAAACAGACAGGGGAGTTTTAGTAATAGATTCGTTAATAAGAGAAACCACATAACGTGAATAGACTTAAATTATAGAATGTGTTGCACAACTATGGAGTTGTAATTTGGTTGCCAATGTGATAACAGAAGTATATGATGGAAATAATTCATCCATGAAAATAAATGGTATGTTTAATGGATAGTTCAATCCTGAGCAGGGAATAAGACCAGGAGGCTTGATATTATCCCCTTGATAGGTTTGCAGATAAATGTATAAGGACTGTTTGTGGTGATGTTAGAGATGTTCTTGTTGAGAATGGGACATTACTGTTTATGTATTTTTGCCTGCAGACAATGCTGCTTTGTTGGCTGAAAACCCAAATGATTTGCAGCAAATGTTAGATTGAATAATGCAACAAGGAGTATAGATCTGAAAATTAATGTCTCATAGACCAATGTAGCTGCACTTGAGAGGGAAAATGGAATGGACCATTGCAAGTTATATTCCAGTTTTCAGCAAATCTTGCTATTAGTTCTGAATCTGCAAATGAAGATTTCCACTGTCTTTACAACTGGAATTGCAACTATTATTTAATCTTGCTTCTCAATCTGGTTTCGAAGCTAGATGTAAATCACTGTTTGTCAGTTCAGATGTAAGGGTAAATTCTGGCTTATGCCAAAGCCAAAATAAGTAACTGAGCACAATAAAAAAATGAAAGCACAGGTAAACCTGCTTTTGGTCCTCCAAACATGGTATAAACAGTCATTATGATCAATCCTGGACATCAGGGATTATGAAATCAGTAGACCAAGAATATTTGAGAACCCAACGTTGGAAAAGATGGATTTAAAGGATTTGGAACACTGTATGTGTTCTGACTATAAATACTGGCCTAACAATGTTTTGAAATATATTCAGCCCAGATATTCTGTATTCATATTAGGTTGGTCTGGGAAAAAATAAGGAAAAAAAATCTTTTTAATAGCTTATGAAACATTTATTGCACCAAGTTCACATAGGACAGAATTTCATAGTCCCCCTTAGAAATGTACAAACCCATCTTGTGATACTTAAGAACAGGTGTCTGACATATTGCTGTGGTTTAATTTCCCCCCTTTTCTTGCCTTTGTATGAAAACACTTCCACGAAGGCATCTAATATTATGTATCTTTAATTTGCTGAAATGTTTTGGGATGAAAGGTGCTTCATAACTGTAAAATATGACTTTATTTCACTCTGCTTAATTGGGACAGCTGCTTTATTGTAAATCTCCCAGGAAGCAGGTTTAGCCTAATGAAAGTTAGCTGCTTGGAGTTGATTCTTAAAGGGCCTCATTTAGTATAGATTGTAACTAACACAGCATGGTTTAATACACATCCAGTAGCTGAACAGTGCTAAGTGATTCTCAAAAGAGAATCTTTAAAATATTCCAGCTATTGTCTGTCTATCTATCATCTATCCATCCATCCTATTTATATACTGTCCAATCCCCAAAAGCACTAAGTTCTCCCCATCATAAAATAATACATTAATAGAAAAGAAGAAAAATGCAAAAATAAATTTAAAAATGGATCATTTTTTTTAAAATGAAACCAGCGATATAATTGTGTGCTTGCAACTTTATTTCCAATTGAAGCATCCCCTCCTCTTGTGTTTGATGGAAGAAGTGTGTCTTTCCTAAAGCCCAGGAGAAGCAAGACTGATCGAATCCGTAGGAAGGGAGTTCCAACGTGTGGGGATGGCTACAAACAAAGCCTACTTCCAAGGCCTGTGAGATGGCAATCATAAAGGCATGGGACATGAAGGGAATTGACTCTATTCACCCTGGTTGGATGCGCAGATTAATACAGGAGAAGGTGGTCCCTCAGAAAATCAAATCTGGACCCATATAGGGCTTTGACAGTGACAACGTTTGCCAGGGC